TGTTCATCCAGCCCTGCACCTTGCTGGAGGAAATGTTATTGGATTGATCTCAGATTAGATACAGTGAATGAAGCTGAATTAATAGTTTCAGGCAGCACCCAAACATCAGTGATTTTAGCACCACTGTGTGGAGACCACGTTTACAGAGCTATAATTTCTTTGATTTTTTTTTAAAAAGGCATTAGACTTCTTCTAGGCAAGTGTCTTTTGATGACACTAACCAATTACTGTATCCGAACTCTGGCAGGCAATGCATGGTTAACTATTAACCACCCATTGGTGGGGCAGGCACAGGGGGAATTGCATTGGAGCAGCTCTTTCATTGAATGTTGTGCGCACACTAGAAGCACAGTCAGGCTACTGCTGAGTTTTCTGTAGCCATACTTTTCTGTCGACTCGTCCTCTGCTGAGCTAACAAATGAACACATTTGTGCTCAGTTACTCACCACCATGTGCTGACCCCTCCTCTATGTTTGTCTCCAGTGTAAATTCACTGCCAATTTATGAGTTGCTTGCTATAAGTATCAGACTGAGTAATGGGGCCTCTTTGCAGTGTTGTTGCTGTCTCCCTTCTTTTCACTGCTACCACTGGGCAGGTGCCAGCTTTTTTGTGTCTAAAAAGCAGAAACTCACAAGTGGAAGATTCTTCAGAGGGAAGGGAAGTGGAGGGAGGACTGGAAAGCAAGAGGCCCATAGGCACACCATCAGCAGCTTGCTCATAATGCTGGAAAATGCCATAAATTCTCAGCAATGTGGAATGTTATGATACAGATGGTATATCTCCTCTTCCTTGGCCCCTTCTGACTCTGCTTTTCTCCCTCTACTGTGTCTTACAAGAGAGAAAACAGAATATCAGTAATTGTGCAGCACTGTGTTTGGGTGGGATGTAGCTGACATAAATGAATAATCGTCAGTGTGTGATTTCACTGAGAAGTGAGTATAAGGTTTTGGCGACGTTGGCACATGTATGATGATAAAATGAATTATCTGATGTCCGCCCTGAGTGCCAGGACATGCTGCTGGGTGATGGAATGAGGCGCAATGAGCAACGTGAGATGTTTGTGATTTGATGTGTGGAAGATGTTATGTGAAGAAACACTCCCTGACCTTTACCACCAAGATGAAAGTCACTAGACTTCTTGTGCAAGAAGTCGAAATCCTTAAGGCCGGATTCTGGGATTTGATTATCCTGGCCAGCTGTATCCATTCCTTTACGGAAGTCAGAGAATTATAGAATCCCTACAGTGTAGAAACAGGTCCTTCACCCTAACAAGTCCACACTGACCCTCAGAGCATCCCACCCAGACCCATCCCCCATAACCCACCGAATCTACACATCCCTGACCACTATGGGCAATTTAGCATGGCCAATCCACCTAACCTGCACATGTTTGGACTGTGAGAGGAAACCAGAGCACCCAGAGGAAACCCACGCAGACACGGGGAGAATGTGCAAACTCCACACACACAGTCGCCCGAGGGTGGAATCGAACCCGGGTCACGAGTGCTGTGAGGCAGCAGTGCTAACCACTGAGCCACTGTGCCATCCTCTTTAAGCATCTTCTGGGCCTCTGCAAGGCCACTTCTGCCCCACCTGCATTCATCCAGCTTTGCATCCAGTGGTGTGGACTCCTCAACGTGCCCTGGTGTACAGCTTTTAAGAATGCTATTGCAACATTCTTTTTATTATCTTTCCATTGAAGACGAAGCCTACCTGTACCACAGGCTGTGTCACTGTGCTGTTGGCAACTCCTTTTGTGCACAGACCTCAGGAAGTTGTGGTGAAGGAATTGACACTCTCATTCCAATGAAGTGGAGAGGCTGAACAGACAAGCTCAAAAATCAGTGCAAATGAATTTCAAATCCAGCAGGTTTGTTTGCCAGAATCATCCTTGTATGATCAAACTATGCCTTTAATCTTCCATCCTGAAACCTTCCAGAATTTTCAAGGGCACAACATGACCATAAATACTTGAAAATTTCATTGACAAAATTCTATCTATGCACTGGGATCATTAGTGAGATCACCAAGGAGACTGATTTAGTTAGGTAAGTCTTTCC